AAGAGTGATCTACATGTTCTGGTGTATTGTAGGTCATTTGGAAGAGTGATCTACATGTTCTGGTGTATTGTAGGTCATTTGGAAGAGTGACCTACATGTTCTGGTATATTGTAGGTCATTTGGAAGAGTGATCTACATGTTCTGGTGTATTGTAGGTCATTTGGAAGAGTGATCTACGCAAATGACCTAAAATACATCAGAACTATAGTGACCTACATGTTCTGGTATATTGTAGGTCATTTGGAAGAGTGATCTACATGTTCTGGTGTATTGTAGGTCATTTGGAAAAGTGATCTACATGCTCTGGTGTATTGTAGGTTATTTGGGAGAGTGACCTACATGTTCTGATGTATTTTAGGTCATTTGGAAAAGTGATCTACATGTTCTGGTGTATTGTAGTTTATTTGGAAGAGTGATCTACATGTTCTGGTGTATTGTAGGTCATTTGGAAGAGTGATCTACAGGTTCTGGTGTATTGTAGGTTATTTGAGAGAGTGATTTACATGCTATAGTGTATTGTAGGTTATTTGGGAGAGTGACCAACATGTTATGGTGTATTGTAGGTTATTTGGAAGAGTGACCTACATGTTATGGTGTATTGTAGGTTATTTGGGAGAGTGACCAACATTTTATGGTGTATTGTAGGTTATTTGGGGTTCTGAGTATTCACAGTACTTACTACTAAAATGATCTGTAAACGTGGCACTTTTGCCATTTTAACTCATTTTGTAATAGTCAAAATAAGACCAGTTAACATACAGCTGGTCATGTTATAATATTTAGACAGATACTGCATATGAGTGTTTATAATTGCAGTGCTGAGACTAATTAAATAGAATCTGAGCATTTTATTGAATATCTAAGTAATGAGTTTCCAGCAGGGTAAGTTACTGACCAGTGATTTACAAACTAAGTATTTTAAAAAGTAGGTATGGAATATTAAGCATGTTCATTTTCTACCCATTCTACTACTATTTTGTTCAATTCTTATCCTGTTCATTAATTTAATTCTGGTATTTTTATACTTCATTCAGTTTCCTTGAAAAAACAATAAAAATATGCTAAATTACATAGGAACTGAGTTGTTGCTTGTGTATTTGAAATTACCCAGTCTTGTGGTTAACTCTGTTTAAGAGACTGAAGATAATGTTGTGACCTGTGACATTTAACATGTGTCAATTGTAACAAAAAGTTTTTAATTATTGCAAACACTAGATAATTTTTGTATATATCTACACCTTTCAGTTTTTATCGGATATTGTTATCTTTGTCTAATTTCAAATATAATGTTTGTTCTGTGTAATTTTAAACAAATTACCAAAAATACTTTTCTGTTATAGTAGATGGAAAAAGATTTAAAGTCTTTTTCTTTCATCATCTGCCATTACAGTTTGAGGAGTTTATGTGTTTCTGAGGTGTTTGCATATCTTGAGCTTTAAAACTTAATCATTTGTAATTAGTTGGCTGATGGTTAGTCAGACAGTTAACAGAGAAGCCTTACGTATCAGTTTCAGTTTTTATTGTAGCCGTCACGGTAGACAAGAAAGTCTTGGATCGAGTATACAAGTACCGGTAATTTGAAGTGATTTGCATCATTTTTTATGTTATTTGTCAAGAACTCTAAATGAATGAGTTTTTAGAATGTATATTTTTAATTCTGAGATGATATCACACCTCTTCACACATTTATGCTATTTTTCCCAATGCATCTGCTTTAGAGATTTATGTGCTACTAGTCTTTAGTGAACTCTCACCTAATCTCATGAGTTTTCATGTGAATTGTAATACTGCATAATAATTTTATTATCCAACAAAACCCTCCAACAGTAGGAGGATGACCAACATCCTTGTGCACCATCTCCCTCTGTGCATTTGCACTCATGAATTTTCATTATTTTCTTCAGCACTGAACACATCAGACATATTTTCTTTTTCACTTTAATGAGGTTTAAATAACTTAATTTCCTTCTTTTTTTCTACCAACTATGAATTCACAAGTTGATGTAGCATCTACAATTTGTGTGAGAGAAGAATTTTTCTCACACAGGCTATGTATCAACTGTGGCCATTGTGCTTAGGATTGTGGGTTCCCTTATGAAACCAGCACTTTCAGCTCTAATGCCTTTTTCCCTTATTTTGGAGGAGAATTAGGAGGACAAATTTGATAACTTGTTTCCTCCTCCTGTTGCAGAGAACCCTGAAACTTCCTTGCATTACCAGGACTTAATATCTTGGGTATGTATCATTTTTATTCTTTCCCCTTTGTCATAAGACACTCATTCCCTCCGATGTAATCCTACCCCAACCAACTTTTCATTTACCTCCTTCTCCTGACATTGGTATTCATACTGAATACTTCCATGTCCAACTGTGTTCCCTCAACTGCTTGCATTTACTCCTCATCTGTCTGAATCTTATATCATGGCTATAATCATTCTGAATTCCCCTTTCTTAATTCCCAAAATTTAGAATCTCTATTGCCTGTGTGGGGGTGCACTCTTTGGTGTCTGTTTTTTCTTCAGCTATGGCCTATTCCATTTCTTCTGCCCTTTCCTTGCTTACTTGGCTTATTGTTGCTGGTAACTGTTAGGTAGGAATGCTCTCCTCTCCCAGGTCAACTTCCTTTTTCTTTTCCAGGAGTTATTTGCCTAGCTCCTCATCAATCCTCACTTTCCAAAGTGTCCCAAGCCCAACCATCCACCTCTGTTTCCTTCTTCTTGACCTTCCTCTTCTACTTATTTTCAGATTCATCTAGTTTGTTAGTGACTATCTAATTGAGTGGAGACCTGTGTGTTGTGGTTTGCATACCTGTGGTCACCCTTTTCTGTAGACAGATGAGTTACTCTACTTCTTATCCAAGAACCTTTCTGTCCAGTTCTCTTCCCCCTCTGTCTCAGCTCTCATCCCATTTCATTTCCTTCTCCATTTGATCCCATCTATCTAAAACATCACAAGGAGACAGTGTTTCCCAACATTTTCAAATGTTTCTTCCCTCCCACACAATATTAGGTTCACCTGGGAATGTTCTTCAACTCTTCTCAGTCATGCTTAACCATTTTTCATCTACTTGTGAGCTATGGAATAACTAGTCACCAGGATTTGCACCTATCTTACACTCATACTGCACAAGAGGTTCTATTGCTTTTGAGAGACACGGCTTTACTGAAACTCTACTAAAGGAATGATCTTCGTGGCTGGAGTGATCCCATACAACCATCAGTGTCTCATTGCCTCTGTCCAAACTGGACCTGTACCTCTTCACCAATGCTTCCTTCTCTGGTTGGGGAATATCTCTTAATAACAGTTTCACATTGGGCACATGGGCCCAGGATGAGTCCTCTTTTTCATATCAACATGCTTGTACTTCTGGCAGTCCATTAGTCATGATCTCATTTCTTTCCTCACCTCATGGATCATTTAGTTATGATCCATTCGAAGAACCCAACAGTTGTTTCCTATATCAACTGCCAAGGGGGTACCCAATCCAGGACTCTTTGCTTTCAAACCCTGGACCTTCTTTATTGTGCGAATTCTCAATGGGTTTGTCTCATTGTGTGCCATGTACCTGGCACTGTGAACCTGGTTGTGGACCACTTTTCTTGACTGGACCCTGATTTGCCCATGGAATAGTTTCTTCACTCCAGGTGTGCTCTTTCTTGAGAACCCCTCTCATCCATGCCTTGCCATTTTCTCATTTCCAAAATTCCTCTCATCTGGTCTCCTGTTCCTCATCCCTAAGTCCTGGCTGTCAGTGCTTTCAGCCAGGAGTGGTTTCACTTTTCCTTTATGCATACCCACCTCTGTCTTTTTCTTGGGTCCTAGCTTTGATTTGCAACACTTCTTACTTCATATTGGTGGCAACCCTCTGGACAGTTCAAACTTGACTCCATCTTCTACACTGGTTGACAACCCGACCCATTATTCCCTTACCTTTATACTCTCTCTCTCTTGCATCAACCTCACATATCATTGTTCCATCAAGGGGTCTTGTCTCTCCTCTTCTACATTTGGGATTTGTCTAGTCCTTTGCCCATGGAAATGGATCTTCTAATCATGTAACCTTTTTTTCCTTTTCTGTTACTATAGTCCTTCCACTTTGTTCAGTATAAGTTGTTTGTCTTTTTCCATTGGTTTATCTGTTGTTATCTTCCTTCTGACCATCCTATTGTCACCCATCTCTTCTCTTTTTTTGTCTGGCTGTTTGACTGTGGATTAGCTGTCTCCACCATTGCCGGTTATCATGTGGCCTTTTCATCAAAATATTGCCTTCTTGATATTACATGGTGTTTTCCTCCCCAGTTCTCTTCATATTGTTTCATTTCTTTCTTCTCCATAGACTCGCTAACACTGCTCCCATGAGTGATTGAGACCTCAGTGTTATTCTGTTTGCTGTTACCCATGAACCTTTCAAGTCATTGGCAACTTGCACCTCATACCACCTTTCTCTCAAGACCTGTTTCCTCTTACTTCTTGTCTGTGGTCACTGTCATTTGGATATTGAGTTTTCCTGTACCCTCTTTCATCACATATCTTTTCCTTTATTCTGACTGGTCCTTCCTACCTAAGATTTCAGCTACTCAGGAAGGTGGCTACTCTTACTCTCCTATTTCTCTTACTTCTGTTCCTTTCCTTTGTGATTGATCAGACTCAGACAGTTTATTTTTCCCCGTTTGTGCCATTCTTTGATACTAATCTCATACCTTATACTTTCTAGGCTCCTATTGCCAACTTTTCATTCCCTACGATTCCTCTTCCTCCTTCTACTCATACAAGTTGGGTCTGACTAATTTTTTTTTGAATATACTACTCATTGGGGATTGATGCTTGTTGACTGTTCTATATTTCATCGCATCAAATTCATCACCTCATTCATTCCCTTGCCACTCATTTCCAATGGCTGCTGGATGAGATCTTTCAAGTGGGAACTAGACTACAACTCACACCTTCAGTGACTTGTCTCGTGAACATTACTGTCAGCCTCCTTTCACTATTCCACAGTCTACTTGACATCTCTAAACTGGTGAGTGCCTTTTGTTTTTTTACAGCATTAACTTATAGGATCATGCCAGGTGGCTGGTGGTGCCTCCCAGAATATACTTACTTCCCAAAATCTGCATCAAGCCAGGACAATGGAAAGTACTCATGACCTTTGCCCTGGCTCCATATACACCTACTGTGAGATGGGTTGTTCCGCAAGACCACTTGTGGTGTATCTGTATATCTGACTATTGTCCAATCCAAACTGTACCTATTGCATGGACTGTTATGGAAAAAGCCAGCATCAGCTGTTGTACTTCATGCTTCCCTGGTTTGTGGTTGCTGGTTTTTCAAATAGGGTTATGTGGTCACCTGTTGCACTGTCCCCAGTAAAACACCTTTCTGGACTGAAGGATCAATGGGAATCCTGGCATTTTCACCATGTCTCCCTAGAGCAAATTCTTCCCCCCTTTTTTTTTGATTAATTGAAGCACAAGAGACCCTTGTCACCACTTAGCAGTTCGTAGCAGCTGGGGTTGTGGACCATGGAGAATCATCATAGATTGGGACGTAACCACTTGGGCTAGAACAAGGGGTACAAATATAAGGCACGTTGAAGAGTGGTTAAACTGTCAGTATGGCTCAGGTCACCCCTCTTGTAGCTATAACACGTCACTTGTCCCCTCCTCCTACTACAGGCTGAATCTGTTCAGTTGAGTTAAGGTAAGCACATAAGACAACACTGTATGCTTCTTCTGCAGCCTGCAAGTATTCAGTTGAGTTAAGATAAGCACACACACACACACTGTAATGCTATGCCCTCCTCCTGCTGTCATTGTTTATTGAGAAGAGTTGAGGTGAGCACATAAGACAATACTGTATGTTTCTTCTGTAGCCTGTAAGTATTCAGTTGAGGTGAGCATGCATCACTGTTTTGTGCCCTCATCCTGTGGTTGTATCTGTTCAGTAGAGTTGAGCTGAGCATGCACTAACAAACCATGTCCTCCTCCTGATCTGTTCAGTTGAATTGAGGTCTGCACACACTATACTATTATCTATAGTATGATTATTGTGCCCTTCTCCCTCAGTTGGTGTCTGTCCAATAAAGTCTGATGGTAGAGTTGAGGTTAGCACAAGGTATGGTCTAAAAGTGTTCCAATCATTCTACACATATTGGCTCTTGAACCTCTTGTGTGCAAGTACTCAGACAGCTATGTTCTTATTCTACCCATCCCTGTGACACATGGGACTCATTTGTATCCTTCTTTCCTCATGACTGAGGGAAGGTTATACTCTGAAAGATATGAGGTGCAGTCTCCCACACATATGCTTCTATGGAGCCCCTACCATCAATATCACTCTCCATGGGCTTCATTCTGGCATTTTCTGAAGGGAGAATATTTAGATATATCCTTGCAATAGCCTCTCCATCACTCCAACGTAGGATTATAGCTTAACTGTGAGAAGAGGTGTGAATTGTCTTATAAGTTAACATTTTCCTTAAATGGAAATGTATTTCCAATAGATATTTCTACTCACACATTGCCACCCATCCTCCCCACTTCTGGTGTTCCTCTGTATTCTTTGCCTAGTAACAAAATGAAGATTTGTGAGTGCAAATACATTGAGGGAGTTAGATCGCAAAGTGATGTGTCATCCCCCATCTTATTGGTGGAGGGCTTTTGCTACATAATGATGTCATTATTCAGTGACAGGGAAGATAGCTTAACTGTGTGAAGGGGTGAGTATCTATTGGAAATACATTTTCAGGTAAGGAAAAATGTTAACATTGTGCATACTAACTGGTGTGATCCATATGATTTTCCTAAAATTGTTTTTTTTTTCTTTCAGATAATTCAGGACATTCAACTGAAAAAAACTCAATTGATGTCTTGGAGAACAGTTTAAAACCAGGATCTGCTATGGTGGCACCATCCTTTGGAAATGACAAGCTTCCAACAACTGTCTGTTTATATGATCATTTGACAATAAGCAATAACAATAGTATCACTACCCAGAAAGTTACATCTGTGTCTTCCACTGGTAAAGGAGCCAATCTTAATTTCATTAGTCAGGAACCACTCTCAACTCTCAAAAGTTCTTTTCCTTGTGTTCACCCAGTTGAAGGAGTTACAACAAAACCAGCAGGTGTTCTCCAACCTACTATTTTTACTTGCTCTCAGTCAAGTTCTGGTTGTTCCTCAACTACAGCTAAAAATAAGAAACCCAGTTTTCACTTCACAGATCTTAGGTCATTTGAGAGACAACAAACAGTATCTTCACATTCTAATTCTGTTTGTTTGCAGCCGGATATTGAAACTGGTTATAAACCACTTGAAATTAACATGAATGTTTCTTCTTATTCTTACCCTGTGTGTACACATTCAAGTAGTCCTACTTCTGATGGAATGGAACTATTAGTCTTTACATGTTCCTGTGCTCATTCAGCTACAGTTACCTTTACCTCTAGTTCTCCTGGGACAAATCTGAAACTTTCTACACAACCTTCCACATGTTTTACTACAGCTACATCTTCTAGTTCTACTAGTGTAGAGCTACTGGTTTCTTCACAACCTTGTATTCGTTCAACTACAGTTACTTCCTCATGTTGTACAGGGTCAGAGCTAACAGTTTCTTCACATCCTTATACTACCTTAGCTACAGCTACTTCCTTAAGTTTTACAGAGGCAGAGCAAACAGTTTCTACAAATCCTTATAACATTTTGTCTACAGTTACTTCCATAAGTTCTAAAGGAGCAGAGCTAACAATTTCTACAAATTCATTTTCTTCTTCAGCTACATCTACTTCTGCAAGTTCTACAGGGACAAAGCTCATATTTTCTACACAACCTTCTACTTCTTCGGCTATATTTACTTCCACGAGTTCTACAAAGGCAGGGCTCACATTTTCTACACATCCTTCTACTTCTTCGGCTATATTTACTTCCACAAGTACTACAGAGACAAAGCTCACATTTTCTACACATCCTTCTACTTCTTCGGCTATATTTACTTCCACAAGTTCTACAGAGGCAGGGCTCACATTTTCTACACATCCTTCTACTTCTTCGGCTATATTTACTTCCACAAGTTCTATAGAGGCAGGGCTCACATTTTCTACACATCCTTCTACTTCTTCGGCTATATTTACTTCCACAAATTCTATAGAGGCAGGGCTCACATTTTCTACACATCCTTCTACTTCTTTGGCTATATTTACTTCTACAAGTTCTACAGGGACAAAACTCACATTTTCTACACATCCTTTGACTTCTTCGGCTATATTTACTTCTACAAGTTCTACAGGGACAAAACTCACATTTTCTACACATCCTTCTACTTCTTCGGCTATATTTACTTCTACAAGTTCTACAGGGACAAAAATCACATTTTCTACACATCCTTCTACTTCTGTGTCTACATTAACTTCTACAAGTTCTAAAGGGACAGAACTCACATTTCCTACACATCCTTCTACTTCTTTGGCCACATTTACTTCCGCAAGTTCTACAGAGGCAGGGCTCACATTTCCTACACATCCTTCTACTTCTGTGTCTACAGTAACTTCCGCAAGTTCTACAGAGGCAGGACTCACTTTTCCTACACATCTATCGGCTCTGTCTTGATAGAACTTGAGGAAGTTACTGTAGACACAGAAGTAAGAAGTAGAAGGATGTGTAGGAAATGTTTTTGTAGAAACTGTTAGCTCTGCACTAGCAGAACTAGAGGAGGTAACTGTACCTGCCTTTGCACTCATTCAAGTACATTTACTAATTCTGAACCTTATGGAATGAACTTAAAAGTTTCTTCCAGTTCCAATGCTATTTGTTGTCAGTCAAGTATAATTACTGGCTGTAATTCAACTGTAATAGAGTTAACAGTATCTTCTCAGTCTGATCCTGTTTACAGTCAGTCATCTACAGATATCGTTACTCGTCCATCTGTAACACAACAAAGTCTTTCATCTCATTCTTATGCTCATTCAGAAATAGTTAATAGCACTAAACTTCTTGGGAAGAATTAAATTTTTTTTCAATATCTAATGTTTGTACTCAACCATCAATGGTCATAGATTCTAATCTTGATGGTATGGGACTTTTTGGCCATCCTCAAACTCATTTACCATATTGCCTGTCTGATTCCCAGAAGACAGAGCAAACACCATTTACTTTGGCTGAATTTAATGTACTTAATACAAGCAGTTCTGCAGAGATGAAGTCAACTGAAACTCAACTGACAGCTACTTCCAAATGTGTAGTATCCTACTCATTACCCTGTTTAATTAAACCTGATGACCAGATAAGGTTACACTGTATGGCCTCACAACCTGTAACTTCAAATCCTGAATCCAGACAAGCTGCTAAAACTGGTCAAGTGGAGATTCAACATGCAACTTTAAATCCTGAACTCACTTATACTGAGAAACTCAATCAAACTACTACAACTAATCAAGCAGCTACAACTGGTCAAGTGGAGATTCAACATGCAACTTTAAATCCTGAACTCACTAATACTGAGAAACTCATTCAAACTACTACAACTAGTCAAGCAGCTACAACTGGTCAAGAGAGGATTCAGAATGCAACTTCAAATCCTGAACTCAGTCAAGTTGCTACAACTGGTCAAGTGAAGATTCAGCATCTAAATTATGATACTGAGAAACTCAATCAAACTACTACAACTAGTCAAGCTGTTACAACTGGTCAAATGAAGGTTCAGAATACAGCTTTTTATACTGAATGCAGTCAGTCTGCTACAGTAGGTCAGGTGCAGGATCAACATGCAATTTCTGATACCAAACACAGTCAAACTGTTACAACTGGCCGAGTGCACGTTCAACATACAGATTCTGATACTGAACACAGTCAAAGCTGTTACAACTGGTCGAGTGCACGTTCAACATACAGATTCTGATACTGAACACAGTCAAACTGTTACAACTGGTCGAGTGCACGTTCAACATACAGATTCTGATACTGAACACAGTCAAACTGTTACAACTGGTCAAGTGCATGTTCAACATACAGATTCTGATACTGAACACAGTCAAACCGTTACAACTGGTCAAGTGCACGTTCAACATACAGATTCTGATACTGAACACAGTCAAACTGTTACAACTGGTCAAGTGCATGTTCAACATACAATCTCTGATACTGAACACAGTCAAGCTGCTATAACTGGTCAAGTGCATGTTCAACATATAGCTTCTGATACTGATCCCAGTCAAGCTGTTACAACTGGTCGAGTGCAGACTCAACATACAGATTCTGATACTGATCCCAGTCAAGCTGTTACAACTGGCCAAGTGGAGATTCATTATGCAGTCACTAATACTAAACCTAATCAAGTTATTGAAGATGTTCAGGCTGAAACTCAACAGAAAGAATCTTTAGAACTTGAGAATTTTTGTACTGAACCAAGTTTATCTATTAAAAGTGACCAGGTGGAAAGTCATGAAGTGGTTCCTCTTGAACCCTGTTCAGTGAAAGAAGATAGTTTCACTGAAATTAAGCCGACATCTTCACAAAATCTGATGCTCTATACTGAACCTACTCTGACGTTTGAAGCTGGTCAGACCAAAGGCCAGCAAACAGCTTCTGTACATACTGAAACTTTCAGTCCACACTTTTCAGCTGGCCAAATTAAAATTACACCATTAACCTTACAAAGGCCTACTGCTTCCTGTATTGAACCTAGTTCGTGCATTAGAACTGATGAAGTTAATATTCAACAAACAACTTCTGAATGTGGTACTTATATGAAATTCAATTCGGATGATACAGCTGGTCCATTTCAGATTCAACAAAGGGACTCTTCAGTCAATATGGCTAGTCAGGTTGCTGATAAACAGACCAGTTGTAAGTCCAAGTTAGGTGTCATGAGTGATGATGTTGAGACTAACCAAACAGATGCTCCACTGACTGGGAAAACATCCAGTCAGTGTAGTCCAGGTAGAGAAAGTGTTGAGGAGAATGATAACTCTCAGCCTTCCATTATCAGAGATGTGGGTGACGCACTGACAGACGTAGCTATATCATCACACACTGTTGTGTGTACTTCTGCTTTTCTTTCTTCAACTGTCATGTCATCATGTACATTAAGTAGCACTAGTTTAGAGTCATCAGGGAGTCGTTTCACCTTGATATTGAAAAGTACTCCCTCATCAGTTGGCCAACGATCTTTACTCACATCAGTTAACAGTATTACTGGAGTTAGGGTTCCTTTTGGTCCCTCAAAGGCTTTTCCAATCAAGATTGTAACTCTCCCTACAGGAGGATCATCCCTCAAGTCTATTAAATCTTCCAACCGATCAGTTCTTGAGTTCATTAACTCCTCTTCAGCATCCCCTGTCAATCCATGCTTCATCACTAGTAACTCATCATCGTCACCAGTTAGGTTAGTAGTGTCACATCTAAAGCCCACCCTTCCTGGAACATCACATTTAACCAGTAAAGTACTTTTGAAGTCTGTGGTTGTTACTAGTGCATCTCCTGCCATAAGATTTGTTCCCATAAGAGGAACTCTTTGCTCTTCAAGCGTAATGGGATCAGGTTCTTTGTTAGCTGTATCCTCTGGAAGCTCCTTACTTCAAGTCAGTTCTGGACCTACTGTGTCTGCCAAAACAAATATTTCAATGACCAAGTGGAATGAGCAAAACTCCAAAGAGCCAATCTTTACAGATCATTCAAAGCTTTTGGAAACAGCTGTTTGTGCTGAGTCTCGATCCATGGGAGGAGGCATCATGGCAAGTGTGTATAAGGACCATCTGGATAATGCTAAAGAAAAAACAACAGATTACCCAGAGGCTGTGGCTGACTCAAGTATTGGAAAAGATCAACTTCAGGTAAAACTTACAGAGCCCTTAGCAACAGGTAATGTAAAAGCTGTTCCCAATTCTACTGCCAAGTTCACATCTACAAGACGTATTTCTGATGACCACTGTTACACGTGCAATCAGCCTGTTTCCACTAGTCAAAGCACTAGTTTGGTACAAACAGAGATTTCTGAACCATTTATAAGTGATCAGTTTCTTCCAATTACAAGTAATAAGCTTGTTCCTCTTCAGGAATCTACAATTCTACATGAAGAAACAGTTACAAGTTTTAAGAATCAAGAGGACTTTTCTATTTCATCTTCATTAGCTAAAGTTAGAGAAATAGATAAAGAATCTAAAGCAGAGTCACCACCAACTTCTGATATTTTTTCCCCTGTAATTATTTCTACAGAGCCTCTGGCTACCAGAAGCATATGTAGTGCTGTACAAAAACCAAAACCAGAGTCTTCAGAGAATACAATGGAAGAATGTTACTCATCAAAACCAGGTAAAACGAAAATTAAATTCATCCGTCCAGGACATGTATGCTTAATGAAAGAGTTGTCAAGGTCAACAGGAAACCAAAATGTCCAAAGCAACTGTCATGTAGAGATAACTGATGAAGAAAAATATCAAACAAAAGTTAAGAATAATACATGTGATGAAGTTATAGATGAAGAAGTAAAGAAAGAAAAAAATACAGTGGACCTTTTATTTGTAAAACCAACAAAGAGGAAATGTTCAGAGAATGTAGCTGAGCTTTTCAAAACCTGCATGGGGCTTGATGGTAAGCCTAAACAAGCTGCTTTTGGAAAACAGGAAGACAGAGAAATGTACGTTTCTACCTGTCAGAGACGAGAAGAAAAAAGTAAGTTAATTGCATTTATTCCTACAATTAGTATGTAAATAAGTATGGTTGATGATAGTTTGTTAGGTTTCTAGTATGGTTGATGATAGTTTATCAGGTTTTAAGTTAGAAAATGATTCAGCTAACTGCCACTGCTTCATAATTGAAAACTTACCAGATTTTTATAGTGTACATCTTAACACTCATCTTTCAAGTCATAAATATAATGTGTTTCTTTAAATAATAATGGAAACAGTGTGTATATTTGTTAGTGTATATATAAGAGAAATAGAAGAACTATGGTACAAAGAACAGAGTGAGAATAATAAAATGTCTCTTTGTAAAAAATTAGGTTATTACTACTTCCTGGCTCTCACTTTTACTGATATCTTTGTTATAAGGATATATTTTATCTCCCTCTTTCTGTATGAGTGTTTAACACTTTTTTTGTATGGCTTAATTGTTCAAAGTTATAATGTTTGTCAAGGAATGCAGATACTGTTGTTAGGTTTTTTGCTGTAGATGTTAAACGTGTCTAAATTAAAATGTTAATTAACGAATGCAGATACTGTAGTGAGGTTATTTTGCTTTAAATGTTAAACTTGTCTAAATTAAAATGTTAATTAACGAATGCAGATACTGTAGTGAGGTTATTTTGCTTTAAATGTTAAACTTGTCTAAATTAAAATGTTAATTAACGAATGCAGATACTGTAGTGAGGTTATTTTGCTTTAAATGTTAAACTTGTCTAAATTAAAATGTTAATTAAAGAATGCAGATGCTGTTGTTAGGTTTTTTTGCTGTAGATTTTAAACTTAGCTAACTTAGAAGACTAATGAAAAAAATGGAAATGTTAATGTTAGGTTCTCTTTTTCTTTTACCAGTTAGACGGTAAATTTGGCTATTATCTTTACGTATAAATTCATCGGTAACAGTACTTTAAGAATTGGTATAGAATCTACGTACAGTGTGCTCGTGTTTAAGGTTAGAAAGTTTATCATACAGAAACTAATAAAATCACTGTAGTTGATTAATTTTTATAGACACTATGTTAACTTAGAAAAGTGAGCATAGGGTAAATTTTGTATTTTTACTTTCACAACTACTTTATACAACTTGGAATGTCATACAAATGCTTTATGCTGTAACCATTACCATTACTTAAAGAAGTAGCATTATCTCTTTGAAATTTCTACCTGCTTTACCTATGTGACTATATAGTTGTACTCAGTCACATCAACCTCAGTTTGCCTGTATGTGACAATATAGTTGTACTCAGTCACATCAACCTCAGTTTTACCTGTATGTGACTATATAGTTGTACTCAGTCACATGAACCTCAGTTTTACCTGTATGTGACTATATAGTTGTACTCAGTCACATGAATCTCAGTTTTACCTGTATGTGACTATATAGTTGTACTCAGTCACATCAACCTCAGTTTTACCTGTATGTGACTATATAGTTCTACTCAGTCACATGAACCTATGTTTTACCAGTATAAGATTATATAGTTGTACTCAGTCACATCAACCTCAGTTTTACCTGTATGTGACTATATAGTTGTACTCAGTCACATGAACCTAAGTTTTACCAGTATAAGATTATATAGTTGTACTCAGTCACATCAACCTCAGTTTTACTATATCTTTGTTCTCATTTAAATCAACATCTATATAGTAAATCAAAAATATATTACTGTGAATGAATTAGGCTGTAGTGGAACATAGTTTGGTTTGAGTGCAGATGATTGCAAAGAAACCTTATACACATTTGATTTTTTACTCTCTTTAGCGTATTTAGAAAACCAAGTTTCTGATGAATCAGGTGAAGATCAGATACCTTTTGGCAAGTTAGTAAGTTGCTCCAGTGTCCAAAAAAACATCCCTCAAACCAAAAACATAGCCATACTTGACCATCAAGTTTTTATAGAGATGGATGATGGTCAAGAGAGGACTGACAATGATGGAAAAAGAGCTTTTAAGGACAGTAGTGAGTCATCTGTTAAAGGTAACTTTTAAGAATTTCATGCATACTTTAGTATTGTTAATGTTTGTTTTGCATGATTTTTATTAAGAATTGTTGGAGAAATACCTGTCAAATATCACTGAAACAGTACTAAGATGGCTTGGTTACAAAAGAATCAAGAAATTATCAACACTTAACATCTAAACATAATATTTTTAATGAGTGAAGTTAATATGGATGTTATTTCCAAATGCTTCACAGCATGGAAAATTTTTTCCCTATCGAAATATTGTACGCATTTGTTTACTCAAAATGATGCTCTTATAATGTATTAAGCACTTTTTGAAAACATTTTGAGTAACATCTGTTTACCACCTTCTCACATGAGAAAAATATTATTGATACATGTAATTACTGACTCTTCCAGGACCAGAAGAACATTCATTCACACAGCAAGAGAACACTAAAACTACAACAGAAAAAAGGAAAACCAGAGGTAGCAGTTACTTAGGTGATGAAAAACGTTTTTGAAATTTGGACATCATTTGTACACTTTCTTATAATAAAGATATATCTTTTAAATGATAGATTCACTCTAGATTTTTTATGAGTACCAATGAATAACTTCAGATTTCATTATGATGCTTTTATTCATTTAGAAGTTGGCTGACCTTTACATGTATAGTGTTTCACAGACACATTGCTGCTGTATAGGGTGCAAGCTGTAAACAAATGCTGTTTTATAATTCTGAACAAAGCTGTTGCTGTGACCTGAAGTGTAATCCAGGCTGAATGTCTTGGCTTGTTTCTATTCCAGACCCTCACAGTATGTTTTTGAAAATGGGGCTATATTCTAGATTAAAATAGCTTTAGAACTGTCTCTCGTGTTCCCATTTCCTAAGTACAGAAGAGTGAGATAGGTCAGCTGGAAAACGTGTGGTGATAAATTTAAGTTTTTTGTAAATGAAAATGGAACTGATTCAAACATAATACCCTTGTAATTTTTAATGTTTTTTCTTCTTCTACAGAAGAGTTTCCTCCAACAAAATGGAGAAGGAGTTCTTGTGACAACCCTAGGTAACGTCCAGACATCTGTTGGTTGTTTGCTACACTATGCACAGCCTCACGTCCAAAAAGCGTTACACAATATTCGAGACCAAAGCTGCATGGTTGGGTACAAGCAAGCTCTGCCAGGATTGGATGTAAATATGTGATCTAGTGTTTTGTTTTTATCTTGCTGAAGATGTTATGTGAAGTCTCTTCAGTTTTCGTTTGGCCTCGTGCCAAAAGAAACCTTTATTTTATTCTTCCAAGATTTGGAAAACAAAGAGATTGACTGTGTAATGTATGACATAAGTTGTTTGCAGACTTTCTCTTTGTCTTCAGAAGAACAAAAATGGAATTCGTGATCTGATATTTTTTTAAATGTTTGACTTGTTCTGTAGCAGAGAAGTTTGTGCATTTATTTTTTTTTACAATCATCCATGGTATGTACAAATGTCATTTTTCACTAAGCTGGTAGGAAAGGATTACATTAAATGGCCTAACAGTGCTGAGTTTTTACAATTTCCTATAGTTTTTAAGGTGAATGACTTAGGCCAATGGGCAGTGTGCATAGACTACAGTTGTATATATTACATGTATAAATATAATTATATTAATAAATACAACAATTTTATTAGTAGCTAAGCTTTTTAAGTTGTTAACATGTAGAGTATTTTAACAGGATTGATAGAATGGTTTGTTGTTTTTTTTGTTTTTTTTTTAGATATAAGAGTAAGTTAAACACAGTTCTTTCGTACAGGAAATGTGTAATGTTGTGAATATATTTGTTGTACAGGAGTTGAACATGCTTTGTTGTAAGTTTCTTACTGGTATTAAATGTCACATCATAACTGTTGAATATTTTTGTCGTATTACAAAATAAGCTGCTATATACATGATTAGTGTTATCAACTAAAACTCTTGGTGGGTATAATTTGACTAATTTAGACGCAACTTGTTTCTTCGTAGTATTGTACATTACTATTACAGAACTGAGGAAAAACAAGACAATTGTGCGATTCACAAGTACATCGTTTATTCACGACCATGGTTCTGCAATTATGTTCAGTATAGAAACCCTCCACCTTCTCTATTTTATTCATTTCCAACTTTATTTAGTTTGTATTTATCACATTTGTTGGTTTTCGTAGATGTTCTGTTAGAGCATACTGCCATGCAGTGTCCAAAAGTTAAACTAAGAAAAATAATTTTATAAAACAGAATATTAAAATAAAAATCACAGTGATAAAATTATCATAAACTACAGGTTTACATTACTTTTAGCCTAGTAAAATGAATTTTATTCTATTTTATTAATTTTCAACTTCATTGACTTTGTATTTATTAATTTTTTTTTCATCAAATTTTAGATAGAGATTACTGTCCAGCAGTGTTCGACAGTTAAAAAAAAATGTTAAATATGATATTAAAATAAAATTAAAAATATATTAACCAATAGCATTTAAATAATTAATAAACTTAAAAAATTGTAATAAACTTTACCTTAACATGAAGTCCAGAAAAATTACTATTTCTCTATTTTTTTTCATTTCCAATCTTCATTTACTTATTATTTATCATCCTTGTTCCTTTTCATGGATCTTCAGGTGGAGTGTACTGCCATGTAGTGCCCAAAAGATAAACTAAAAAAATAATTGAAACTGTAGGATATTAAAATAAAATGAAAAAGAAGAAAACCACTAGCATTTAAATTAAAAATACATTGAAAAAATTAGAATAATCTCCACCTTAACATTAAAGTCAGTCTAGAAAAAACGTTTCCTTTATTTTATTCATTTATTTTGTATTTATCACATTTGTTGGTTTTCATAGATCTTTTGTTAGAGCATACTGCCATGCAGTGTCCAAAAGTTAAACTAAGAAAGAAGTTTTAAAAAACAGGATATCAAAATAAAATTAAAAACAAGTAAGCCTTTAACATTAAAATAAAGTTCACCTTAACATTATGTTCAGTCTAGAAAAAATACTTTTTTTTTCTATTTTATTGATTTTCAACTTCATTTACTTTTTATTTATTACCTTTATTTGTTTTTGTGGATTTTTAGAGAGAGTATACTGCCACGCAGTGTCCAAAATTAGCATAAATTTCACCTTAACTTCAGTCTGGATACATAGCTGTGTGTCTGTTTTATTTGTTTCCCACATTATTTCTTTTGTATTGATTACATTTCTTTGTTGGCATCATACTTTATACTATACTGCTATGGAGTATTGATAAATTAAACCAACAATTTTTTTGAAACATTGGATAATAAAAGAGAAATTAAAAGAAATATTGTTAATTATTATATGTATTAATAGTATCAAGAAACTTAGCATATATTGCACCTTAACATTACATTAATTCCTTGTAGTGTTCAAAAGTTAAACCCTTAATATTAAATAAATATCACAGTGATAAAATTAGTGTTAAGTCCAGAAAAATAGCTCTCCCTATTTTTATTTATTTCCCACTTAGATTATACTGTCAGGCAATATCCAAAAAAAAACAACAACAACTAAAGTTTAAAAAAGGAAGGAAATTAAAGTAAGCTGTTAATATTAAAATAAATTTTTATTATAGATGGCAGCACCTTCAGGGCAAGACCGTTCTCATTCAACAAATAAAGTATCTGTTACTTGAAGCTAGGTAAAATAATAAAAATAATTTAATAACAAAAGTTACTGTTAATAACTGACTCTTTAAAGAATTGATAGCGTTGTATATATATATATATATATATGTGTGTGTGTGTGTGTGTGTGTGTGTGT